TGTTAACAACTACAGACCTATATCAATCCTGCCAAACTTGTCAAAAATTTTTGAAAAACTTATATACAAGCAGCTTTACTCATATCTAGCCAAACTCAATATACTTAGCCCTTGCCAATATGGCTTCAGACCCAAAAAAAGCACTAACGATGCACTCATTAGTATGCTTAACTCGATTCATACAGCCCTTGATAAAAAGGAGCTCCCTGTTGGGTTATTTGTGGACCTGCGTAAAGCTTTTGATACTGTCAACCACCATAACCTTCTTCTTAAATTACATCATTATGGAGTCAGAGGGCACTCCCTACAATACCTCGAGTCCTACCTTACTGACAGGCTCCAATATGTTTCTGTGAATAATACAATTTCTCCCACCCTACCCATCAACATTGGTGTTCCTCAGGGCAGCATACTTGGCCCTCTCCTCTTTCTCATCTACATTAATGACCTTCCAAATGCCTCCCAACACCTCAAACCAATTCTATTTGCTGACGACACAACCTTCATTTACTCCAGTCCTGACCCTCTTGCTCTAAATGCCACAGTAAATACTGAGCTAAATAAAGTCCATCATTGGCTAACTGCCAACAAACTCACCCTTAACATTGACAAAACCTTCTATATTCTGTTTGGCAATAAATCCTCTAGTCTTATAAATCTCAAAATAAACAATACCCAAATTTGTAACAAATTAGATGGCAAATTCCTTGGCATTCTCATTGACAACAAGCTGAATTTCCAGGGACACATTCTAAATATATCAAAAAAAGTTTCAAAAACTGTGGGCATTCTTTCTAAGATCAGATATTATGTACCACGCCCTGCTCTGGTGACTCTCTATTACTCCCTTATCTATCCTTATCTCAACTATGGTATTTGTGCTTGGGGTTCTACTACCCAAAATCACTTACGTCCTCTAATTACCCAACACAAAGCCGCTATTAGAACAATATCCAACTCTGGCCCCAGACATCACTCGGTACCCCTACTCAAATCTCTTAATATGTTAGATATTAAGTCACTGCACATTCTCTCATGTGTATTATACATATATAAAACGCTAAACTATAATGCCAATCCTGATCTTAAAAGCTTCATAGAAGGTTGTAACAGAACCCATGAGCACCACACCAGAAATAAATACAGTTTTGATATTCCTAGAGTACGTCTTAATCAAACTAGAAATGCTCTGCAAATCAAGGGGCCCAGAATGTGGAATGACCTTCCCAACCATGTTAAAGACTGTCCCTCTCTCAACCAGTTTAAGATAAAAACTAAACACTACCTAATAAATTCCCTGTAATCTACCTCACTCCTCTATTGTCAACCCATGTCTGTTATTTTCTTTTTTTTTTCTTTTTTGTAATCAACACTGTTTGTCAACCTATTGTATTTGTGCTGCTTTTTCAGTCATGTTCCCCCTTTTTTTTTATCTTTATTTGTATTTGTTCTCAACATCTTTTATTCTTTATGCTCAATTAGTATTAAGTTCTAGATATTAATGTTTTTCTTGCCCGAAACGCATTGCGTAATAGTGGCTTTAGGCATTGTATGTACTAGCTCTATCTATATATCAATCCATTAATGTAACATCACTTGTATGTATATACCTTACCTGAATAAACATCTGAATCTGAATCTGAATCTGTGGGGGTTGAGTCAGAGCTCAACCCCCGCAAGCACAACTAGGTGAGTCAACACTCAGGAAGCAGCTCGTAGTAGCTGGCTAGCTCCCAGGTACCTATTTACAGCTAGGTAAACAACATCATCAGGGTGAAAGAAACTGCCCATATGTTTCCGCCTCCGCCGGGGATCGATCCCCTGACCCTAGGACTACGAATCCCGAGCGCTGTCCACCCGGCCGTCAGGCCCCAAGGTGTGTGTGTGTGTGTGTGTGTGTGTGTGTGTGTGTGTGTGTGTGTGTGTGTACTCACCTAGTTGTACTCACCTAGTTGTGCTTGCGGGGGTTGAGCTGTGGCTCTTTGGTCCCGCCTCTCAACTGTCAATCAACAGGTGTGCATTTGTCATCATTTGTGTGTGTGTGTATATTACTCTCTTCCCTTGATTATTATCTAAATTTTCTGTTGCATCATCATTCCTTAATAAAGATAGAAATGATATAAATAAATTTGTAGTTTCCTGTACTAATGTATTTTTCTTGACCAATGCAATTTTTTAAATGGAGTTTTCAGTGTCAGACAATTAATCAGGTAGCTTCTTTATGATTTTAAATTGAATTTCATCCGCTCCTGGCGGGAGTTTTTCAATTAATGTTATTGATGGTTTCACAAGAATTGGTGGTATCCCTCTACTCATTTTCCTCTCCTGCATATCGAACATCCTTGTAGAAGTTGGAATGTTTAGGTTTTCTGTTGTGAACACTAGTATGAAGTAGGCCTATGTCATCAACAGTTGTTCTCTCACATTATCGATGACGTGGAGCGCTAAAACCATAAGTTCTCTCGGGTCCAACAATCTGGTTGATCAGTCCAGCAACCAGGAGGCCTGGTCGACGACCGGGCCGGGGGACGCTAAGCCCCGGAAGCACCTCAAGGTAAGGTTGTTGTTGTTGTCTTACATTCAGCTACTCGGAACAAGAAGTTCCAAGTAGCACAGGCTATGGTGAGCCCATTGTGGACTTACCTGGCACATGAGCGGGGCTGTAACTGAGGGTAAAGTTCCCTCAATTCCTACACAATATATAATTCCGGAATAGATTGATGAAGATTAAGCCACCCAAGAGGTGGCACGGGCATGAATAGCCTGTAATGTATGTCAGGAATATTACTGTTGTTGCTGTTTTAAATTTGGCTACTCAGAACACAATGTCCATGTAACACGGACTATAGTGAGCCCGTAATTGAGTTCAGTTTATTCGCGATAATCTTGTTACTGCCATATTCGGGGCAAAATTTTAAATGGAAATAGGGTTTCCTCCTTTTCTCCCGTTTCTTCTCCGCTTCTGTTTTAGTGCACTGGTTTTAGTCTTGTTTTAATATCATTATCTTGGTGGCAGATATAGATGCACAGTGTTCACTAGGGTGTCCCGTTCTTCAACTGCTTTTCTAACCATTGTAGTCGCTGTGGATTTTGCATCTAATGCAACTGCTCTTGTTGGATGAATGTTGAGTTAGATGTGCAGGGCTTCAGTCGCTTCACATTCCAGTAAGTAATGCAATAGTGGCGCCCCTGCATCTGTTCCGCAGATATGTCACTCTTTAACTATTGGATTTATTACCTTCCAGCAGCACTTGTAACTAAATCTGAGTCTATGGCTACTGCAATGTCTCTGGATATCCTGATTTGGGGTGGGCATATAAAGGCCTTCCAATAACATGCACACCTAACTCATATGATGTGTTTCTTTTCTCTATCAAGAGATTAAATAACGCGGAAATGTCCCGCGCTGAATATCGACAAGTGTCCCCTGAGGCTGTTAAGAGCGGCCCCGCACACCTGGGGTGACGAGGCCTCGAAAATTACCCATCTGTGGCGCCCACATTCTGCAATTTAAAAAAAAATCTAATTGCTTTTGATTCCGTTTTATTGAGTTGAAGGTATTCAGTCCTAGAATAAACGTGGCTATTTGGATACTTCTCTAGACGTTCCGTTATTAAGCACTGCAGTATGGGGTCGAGAACTAGGATTAGTGGATATAAGTGGCATTAAAAAATAAAAGAGTTAGAAGGAGGTCGCCAGCACCTCAAGTGAGCGAACAAGGTCACGCAGCCTCGCCACCCAGGAACTAAAGAAGACTCCTATCTTTTATATTATATGCTCCAATCCGCTTGTTATTGGTATTACTATTTTGAAGCAAAAAACATGAATATTGATATATTGTGGAAAAGATAGCGTGCGGGAGCATCCTGATATGGATGATATTGGACTGCTTGGGGCGGGGGTGTGAGGAGGGGGGGTGTAAGGGGGGTTGAGGAGGGGGTGTGAGGTGGGGGGGGGTTGAGGTAAAAATATAGTTGGGGGTATGGAAAGTGGAGTGATGAGGTTAGGGTATGGAGAGGTCGAGGGTATTTATAGTACAACATATTTTGTTCGTTGGGGATTTTGACGTCAAAATACGAGAGGACAGCTTGTAGCGTTATGTCGGCAGAGTATGAGATGCTGCCAAACATCAGACAATCGTTCAGGAACCTATATCAGGACTCCTTAAAAGTAATCTACATAGCATATGTTAGACCATACTGGAATATGCAGCACCGGCATGGAATCCGCACCTTGTGAAGCATAAAATAAAAAGGTAAACAGTACAGAAGAAAATGTAATGGAAGTAGATTTGACAACCCTATAGCGTTAGCAGATTAGAAGATAGAAGAAATATAGGGATGATCACAACATACAAGATAGTGAGAGGAACAGAAAGGGTGGACAAAAACAGCCTCTTTAATTGAGAGAAAGTAGGGCAGAAGGACATAGTGGAAGCTGGAAATGCAAATGAGTCGAAGAAATGTAAGGCAATACACACGTACAGGTGGGCTACAATTAAGCATACTGCATCGAAAGATTAAGTTGTAGAAGCCAACTGTAAAGCTAGAGTCAACAAGGAATTCGAACATTAGGGAAATAATTAAAACTCAACAGATACAAGTCTAGTTAGAAGGCGAGGGATAACATGTTAGACCTCACGTCCCCCTATACAGTGTTAGGTAAGTGTCACAGGTCAGCGAGGCGGCAGTCCGCGTATTATATCTCACAACATATTTCACATTTCTGCAATTTTTCCTTCACCCGTATCTCTCTAACATCTTCCCCCCTCCTTCCACCTCTCCCAAAGAAGGTGGGGAGGGGGAGGATGAAGGTAAGCGTTTGAAAGGAGGGGTGGTGGAGAGTCTTGTAAGGGAGAGGGGGTTGTGGTGGGGGCTTCAGGGGAGGGGACGAGGGGTGGTGGGGACCACGAGGTGTGGTGGGGGCTGGAGGTGTGGTAGAGGGGGTGGTGGGGGACACGAGGTGTGGTGGGGGCTGGAGGTGTGGTAGAGGGGGTAGTGTGGTGGAGGTGTGGTGGAGGGGGAGTGAGTCAGGTGAGAGGCACAACACAGGAGGAAGCTGGAGCGCCTGCCTCTGCCACTCAGTCCTCCCACAGCTCCCGTAGTGACAGGAGCCAGGCAGGAGTTCTATCTGATATGTGGTGGTGTGTGACGCTGTCTTTGGTGGTGTGGGCGAGTGTCGTGGCCCTCAGCGACGCCCAGCATGGAGTGCCCCTACCTGGCCTCCCACAACATACAGGGCCACCACCCCGTGGCACTCAACCACAGACGACACAACTAACCCCTGGAGTGGCACTTGCCCCTCAACCCACTCCAGGGGGCGGTGTGCCCCTGCCTCACCTGGCAGGTGGTCGCCCTCAAACACATTTTGGACCAGTGTTGCATGGGGATACTGACACTGTGGTGGTTCCCCTCGGAGGCGTGCCCGTTCCTGGCCTAGGGGCTGGAGTGCCAGCCTATGAGACGGTTGGGGTGGACGGAGTGCCAGTGCAGCAGCCTGCAGGTGGTCGTGGCAGCATACGGCCTGTGAGGGACCCCGGGCTAGACGAGAGTGTGCAGCGCGTTGTGAGGCTGGCAGCTGTCCAGGACCACTTGCAACTTAAGACCGAAGCTGATACGGCCGTCAAGATCCGTGAAATTATCAGTGCTCACAAACAGGTATGCTAATTTACATTTTTTTTTTACAATGTAGTTGATGTAGATTAAATATGCGAAAAGTATCACTAGTGGGATATAGATCACTTCGTACATGCGACAGCGTGGTAACTTATTTTAAAAACTCCCCTAACTAAATCTAACCCCAGCAATACTGTATACAGTATTTTTATTTTTTAGTGAAAATCTAACTTGTGTACAGTCCGACTAACCTGTGTGGTAGGCCTACTATCACATGAAGCAGCACCAATTTACATGCAGTTGCCGTCATTTTTTTTTTATCAGTACTGTACTATATCCCCGTACTCTTCTCCCAAAAAAACTCACACTAATGTGCAATGGTGATTTTCTCTTTATGCCTTTCAAGGGAACATAAGTACTGTCCTACACTAACTGGAAAAATCCCTGCTCATTCTCATGATTTGACAAACGTCAACATTTATGCATTTGTGCTTAACCAGAAATATATGAACCTGAGCGAGCCACCTATTAAGGCTGATGCTCACTAGTCTGAGGAATTGTCAGTATTACAGTTCTTTTAAGTTTACTAAACCACAGCAATGTTTATAGTGGGGGATTGATGGCACAAAAATTGTGGTGTATTGTGAGAAAAGGTCCTGAATGTATTCTATCGCCTTTGCCTTCACCAGACTTTTCACCCAAGCCAACTAACTTAACCTAGCAGAGTAAATGGATAAGCTAGGCAAGGGGAATATTAGGAGCGAAACAGAGGTGGTGTTTCTTCAGTTGTTCCGAATGTAACTTCACTGCATTTTGTGTCATTTTGGAAAGCTGAATTATAGTGGAATATGTGCAATGCTTTCTTGAATTAATTCCCATTGTTAGAGACAAGAAGCCTGTACAGTACTCTGTTATATTGGGGTCCCCCTAAGCCAACTACTGACCTTCCCCAGGATGTAACAAACAATTATCTAAGGCCTACCATCATTGTACAATATAATCATTTATGTAAATACAGTACTGTACAAAGATATTGTAATGAAATTTTTGTTGTACCTAGCTGACAATATCATTATAAGGTGTGCAGGTTAGATGAAATTATTAATGTAAAAATCTCTGCTGAGGCCTAATTAAGATCTTTTGTGCCCTTTATAATCCTTTTTGCTCTACTGCTCACAAGATGAGCATGGTGCATGATAAACTAGCCACCTCTGGCAGCAACAATCAACAGTTACCTAACACCTGAATACCTCCAGTTGCAAGCTTGGAAAGATATACCACTGTATGTAGTGAATCTACCCAAAGGACTGTGTTTTTGTTAGATACAAGTCTATGCAGTATTGCAATATTTGGATATAATATAAATGTTAATTATATAACTGGCAATGTATAAGCAGGGCAGTGGTAAATTCCTTTGGTTGTTAATATGGAGACAGTTAAACAGTACTGTGAGGTACTGTACTATGGCTAAATGCTTTAATCACTGCCAACTAATTTTCAGAGAATGGCATACTGTATTCTGCTAAGGGGGAAAAAACATTTGCATTAATGTATTAGCTACCTGTGCTTTACTAAACTTGATCTAAACTATGCTGCCTAAATTTAACCGAACCTAATATAGTACAAAAATACCTGTACCTGTATAACAAAATTACATTTGTTATATGGCATATAAGCATACAGTACAGTAATTGAGTTTATATACTGTTACCTTTGTGCCTATAACTGAATACACTGAATTGTTTTCCCCTTATCAAATTATAGCAGACAGCACCCTATAAGCTTGAACCAGTGAAGCTAAGGTGGTGGTGGGTGTTATATGACATATACCTATTTCTTAATTTCCATTTTTTTACACTAAAAGTTTGTACTAATGGAGACCTTTATTAGCTATCCTATGTCAAGTTTCTACAAATTAAAATTACTTGTTTGTTATAATTATGGATTAACCTCCTTGCAATCCTCCAAGCATAAATCCTGGATAATTCAGTGTATCCCGGATGCAGGTTCGAATCCTCGTCACGGCCCTTGTGGATTTGTTCCTGGACAAAGCCTTTTGTGTATACAGTATCTAGAGACTCCAAATATCATTGCACCCCCCCTTAAATTGGTGTCGCCCATACCAACAATCCTTTGGTACTATTTCATTGTTCTGGCAACTTTTTCCATTATTCTAGAGAAAGCATTTGCATGTTTTTCATTGTGGTCCATTGTGTTTTCAAGATCATTTTTCCATTCTTTAATACAGTGACCAAAACTGCACTATCACTGAAGTGAAGTGTCAATACTGCAAAATTGTAGGAAAGCATTAAATCTGTACAGTATTCATATTGTTAACACTCCTACATATAAAACGGCATAGCCTGTTAGCATTATTGCATCCATTAATATTAAATAAAGTACAGCTTTCTTGGTTTAGGTTTCATAATAGTTCTAGATCTCTTTCACAAATAGATTTAACATAATACATGTCAAATGGATTGGTAGTACAGTATTTAAATTTTTGTTTTTAAATTTAAATAGTTTTATTTGTCTATAATGAACTGCATCTGCCAGTTTTCAGTCTAGATTTGAAACATGAGGTTACCCTCTAGTTCATCTCTATGCCTAAGAACCTGGGTTTGAAGCAATGCTCGAAAAACAAGTAGAAATTGAATATGACCAAAGATTACAGTTCCCTGGCTCTAGGCACTGAAACAATAAGTGAATTCAATAGCTTATTTATGTCACTTGGGGTTAACCTTGCCAGCATGAGCTTGATTGGGAAGAAGTAGGAGCTGCCTTGCATGGGTCAGCAGGTTTCCTGAAGTTTTCTGTTTTCTGTTACCCATAAATATATACATGTCTCCTCTTGCAAGGGAGTATGGTGGATGGATTAGATTTGCTTAGGTTTATTAAATTTTGTTGAATAAACAGCCCAAAACAGTCTAGTCTAAACATAGCCTACTTTCCTTAACTCGCAAGTTTTATCTTGCATTCAGAGGCCAATATTTGATGAGATCCATGTGATACTGTCATTAATAAATTGATTGTACCGTATCTATGCTATGCTATACTGTATATCTATCTATGCTATCTATCTATGCTATATATACCGTATATATGCTATGCTTAAAACACCAGTATGTTACAATTTTATTATTAAGGAGTTGAATAATATAAAAACAAGTGTTAAAAAAAATGGTTAAAGTTTGTTTGAAAAAATCAACAATAGTACAGGAGGTTCTTCTAGTAGGAAAATAATAATTCTACTACTTTGGGGAATAGTTCTTTTGCTAGAGAGTAGAAGGACTCTCAGAACTTCATCCAGGTACAATAATAATACAAATGTAATGACTAATTATTATATACATTATTGAAGATTGTCAATTTTGTTACTCAAAACAGTAGAGTATTGTACTGTATTTGTAAGCGATTTGAGTAAACTTGTAAAAATTTGAACCCTTGGGAAATTTTCTCAGTCTTTGCCACCAGAACTATTCTCCCTAGCTTATCTGGGAGAGACCCCCTAGTAGCTCCCCAAGGTTTGGTACTGCTAAGTTTTAGCTAACTACACCAGGCCTCAAAGACCCAACCTTTGATTGCCTGGACCAGAATCTGGCTCACTCAGTGAGGCAAGGATTGTGTTGGGGATCAGAGATTGATCCAAATCTGACAAAAACCTGCCAAAAGCATTAGTGCAACGAACCGAGTGACTGATTGAAGGAAATTAGGCACTTCGAGTCAAACTATCAGTATATGAATATTGTATAGCTTTTTTGTCTATACCTCCTATTGATCTTGCATATTATAGCTAGACAACCTTTCCAGGCAGATATCTTCTATGTGCATAGAGTATTCCTGTACAGTACTGGTATTAACAAAAAATGCATAAAAATCCTTTGAGTAAATAATGTGTTGTGTAAACAACACAGGAAAGAATTACATGTTGTGTAAGCATCCAGTATAAGTAGCACTGGGCTGCCCAGAGAAAATGTCAAATGTATTAACTATAGTATATACTAAAGTTAAATAAATAATTTCTTAAAAGAAATACCGTGCTAGTGTTTTTAATAGTATGTATCTACTACTTAGAGCACAAAAATGGTAAAATTATAATCAGCTGAAAATTATTACTGTACAGTATAGCCTACACTCTTCTGGCTTTTACAATGAACACAGTACTTGCATGAATTAAGATTACATTCTGCTGGTGTGATCCGATGCAAAAATTGGTCCATTATTTGGAGGTACTGTACTGTATTTGTTATGAAGAGGTTCAGATTTTGGAGGTTATATTATATCTTAGATTAAGTTATAGGACTTTATAATAATAACTAATGCTTCATTGTGTTGGGGGACAGGCAGCAAGTGTATGTATACATGTTAGGCTTGTATCGAGGTTCCCCCCCCCCTCCCCGAGGTCACACTGCTGCTAGGATGCAACCCCACAACAAGCTAACTCCTAGATACATATTTACTGCTAGGTGAACAGTGGCAATAGGATTTACCTAACAAAGAACAAAAAAGAACAGTTTATGTAAGTGTGGTGTTGATAGGGTCTGACCACAATTATCTTTTATCATTTCAGACATTCCTCTTCCTGTTCTATTTTCATAGCTCCCTTCCTTTCCCATATCTTATGGCCCCTTCCCAGCCTGTATTTCTTTTATTGTTAATTGCTAATCCTGCTTTCCAGATAAAAAAAGAGCCAGATTCACTCCCAAATGCATTAATTCCCAATACCTGTACTGTACTATACGTTTACATAAAAGCAATTATGATTGAATTTGTGTTACACTTTCAGTATTTGCTGCCTGTTACACTCGGTTAATTGTTATTAAATCTTGAATATTGTACCATCTTTCTGCCTGGCCCCCAATCCAGTTTGCAACTGAATAAGCTAATAATGTATAAAACCCTCTCATTGAAGAGTAGTGAAAGATACACAAGACTACCAGTGACAGGTTAACACCATATTACATACTGAAAATTACATATACATATAACCATTATACTTTGGTGCTTTACTAGTTATCTACAATGTTACCATAAAAATCTCC